CTCGGACGCGCCTCGCGCTGCTTCGCGGCGGGTGGGCCGCCCGTCCGGGGCCGGGCGCGGGTGCGGGCCCTCGCGATCGCGGCCCGCCGTGCAGACGCGCGGGCAGGACGGGAGCGGGCGGCCCCGGCGGGCCCCGCCGCCCGGGAAGCTGGCCAGGCCGCTGCAGGAGGCTGCCCGGCCGGAGCGGTGGGGCTTGCCGGCCTGGGCGTGTCGCCCCCCGCCTCGCCCCCCGGAGGGCGGACATTGGCGGGCGCCGCTTTGCTGCAGCGCCCTTTCCCGTCGCGGCGGGGCCGGGCGGGCCTCCAGGCAGTGGAGGGGAGCCGAGGCTGCCCGCGGGAGCTTGGCGGGGGGCCGGCCCTGCTCCGCTGTGCCCCGCCTGCCTTGCATCGCCCCGGTAATGCAAGCAGTGCGAGCGGGGAAACCGGAGACCTTTTCCGGAAGGTCCAAGAGATCAAAAGGCAGTTTAAACCTAGATTAGGAATGCTGAAGGGCCGCCCAGGAGCGTTTCATCGGAGCAGGGTGAAATAAGGGGAAGATAAAATCCGTTTACAGAAATATGCAGAAGAGATGAAAGGAGGACAGAAGCCTTCAAAGAGGGAAACTCTGAGGAAGAGCCTGTAATATTACAAAGTGGAATGAAAGCTGCTCTGGGGGTATTTAGAAGGAACACACCTCCTGGAGTAAACTGAATGCCAGCAGAAGTATTCCAAGTGCAGAAACTGAATCAGCCCAAAGCTTAACAAGGATCTCCCAGCGAGTGTGGAAAGTGGCCCAGAGTGGAAGCATTCAATCTGTGTTGTGAGCCGCCCCGAGGCTTCGGCAAGGGGCGGCATAGAAGTGTTTTAATAAATTAATATACACACACACACACACACACACACACAATCCAGCTGTCAAGACAGGATGTAGTTTAGCTAAGGAAGCTGGGTTTAGCTAAGGAAGAGGCACCTGAGATCATATGGCAAATGTACGCTGGCCACTGGAGCTACCAAAGGATTTCAGAAGATGGTCAGTCTGCCTTTTCGATGACGGCCCTGAACGGTATGGGGAGCTTCCGCACCTGAGCAGCCTGATGTGTTGCCTGCATCCTTGGTGAGAAAGTACGGTTAGGACAATATGGAGGCTTCGAAGGGTTTCCCATAGGCAAAGGCATCAGACAAGGGTGTATTTTATCTCCCTCTCTGTTCAGCCTGAGCATATCATAAGGAAATCTGCATTAGAATCGTAGATTAGAAACAGGAAGGAGTGAAAATTGACGGAAGATACTTCCATAATTTAAGTCACGCAGGTAATACCATATTACTGATTGAAATGACTCCTGAAAGTGGAAGAAAAAAGTGCCAAAGGGAGATTGCAGCTGAATATTAAGAAAACGAAAGTAATGTCTGCAGGAGACCTGTCGAACTTTACGGTCAGCAGTGAAGAAAGTGAACCGGAAAAGGCTTGCATACTTAGGCTCAGCCATTAATTCAAAGAGAAATGGCATCCCAAAAATTAGAAGACTGGGACTGAGAAGGGCAGCAGTGAAGGCGCTAGAAAAGATTGTCCGGTGCGAGGATGCTTCCCTGGAGACCAGGGCCAAGACGATCTGCACCCTTGTGCTCCTGGTCATTACTGAGGGGTGTGAAAGTGGGATAGGGAAGGAGGCGACAGGAGGAATTTGGTGCATCCAGAGCGTGCTGGCAGAGGCTTCGCAAATACCGGGACCAACGGAGTGACGAACAGGTGAGGCCTAGGTCACGCCAGGCCTGGACTTTAAAGCTGAAACGACCGCACAGGCTGCCATATTTCAGACGCATCCAGAGGAGACGGGACTCACTGGTGATGACAGACTTGCTAGGGAAAGGCAGAGGCAGAAGAGGAAAAGGAAGACCAAATACGGGGGGGGGGGGAATAAAAGGACCCTCAGCCTTGAGTTTGAGAGCTGAGCAGGGCTGTCAAGGGAGGGCATGTTGGGGGGGGGGCTCTTCATTTGTAGCGTCACCGTAAGTTGGAGATGACGTGGCGGCACAGAGCGGCGTTGTGGTCTGTCCCCAGCCAAACCTGGGGGAGCGCACGCCCTTGGAATCTCTCCGTGCTCTGAGAGGCCTGCTGCTGGAAATAGTATTTATTTTCATGGTACTCTCCTGCCGTTTCCAGCAAAAGAGAAGTTGGGGTGGCTTTCCATACTTCATAAAACACGAGTTGAAAGAAGCACTTAGAAACGTATGTAGGAAAAAAGGGGGAAGGCTCAGCGCTCTGACTGCAGCTGCTTAAATTAGATTGGGGGCCATTTAATGGAGGTGGTGGGAGGACCCCCCCTCACCCCCATTTCCTTTCAAAAAGGCCGTGCAGCTGCTCTGTGCTTGGACTGGAGGCTGTTTTCCCTGCTCTGACCTGCAGCTGCACTTGGCCTTGGATTACTTTCTGCCTCTCGGTTCATCTGTCCTTCCACAGAAAGCGATAAAAAAGCCAAGCAAGGTTGAGAAGTTTGCATGTGTGTTGCTTGGTTCCAAAGATGATGCCGTTCCCCACTGCAAGAGACAGGTGCATGCAGTTTGTTTTCTGAAACAGCGAATTCTGGCAAAATTGAACTTTTCATGTTGAAGTTGCAGGGCTGTGCAGGAAGGCGAGTGGCTAAAGGAGGAGGCGGGGGTAGCGCCGCGGAGCAGCCTGGCGGGGCCCAGGGAAGCCCCGGAGCGGCTCTGTGGCCGAGCAGAGGCCTGGCTCCTCTTCCGCGCTCCCGCTGTGAGCAGGCCTTTGCACAGGCGGCGCTTCTGTCCGGAGCCACCGGGCGTGGGCCTCGCAGAGTGGGGCCTTCTCTGCCGTCGGGCCCTCGCACTGGCAGTGGCAACAGGAGCTGTGCTGGATCCGTCCCGACATCTGCCGACGTCGGGATCACATCCTGTGGCGCAGGCACCTGTGTCGTGGGACAGCGCCTTCTACCCCGCACTCCCCGGGAAAGAAGCGGTTGTCCTACGGGCGGTTTGCGGGGGGGGGCCTCTCGCTTCACTCGTGACGGCAAGGCGACCCTGGCCGCCTTCCTGTGTGCACCCCTGCAGGAACCCTCTGCAACGGCGAGATCGCGCCGCCGACGTCCTCGAGAAACCTGCCGGTGCGGAAAGGCTTCCTCGGAGTGGCCGGGCCGGAGCACCGCTGTGCTCCCTGGCTCTCCGGCCGTTTCTCCCTCCAGATGCCGGCCAACGTGGAGATCAAGGCTCGCGCGAGAGACGTGGCGCAGCTGAGGAGGCGGGCCGAGGAGCTGAGCGGCTCTCCGGGCTGCATCATCGCCCAGTCGGATACTTTCTTCCCCGTCCCTCGTGGGCGCCTGAAACTTCGCGACCTCCAGGTAGGACTGGGGTGGGGGCGGGGGCGCCCTGTGCCTCCCGCTTAAGTCCCGTTTGCTTAAATTAAACCGCAAATGGGAGTTGGACGTGCGAAAGAAATCCGTGAGTCCGCTCGGCACGCTGCAGGCGTGCAGTGGCCGCATGGAAAGGGCCCCGGCGTTCCTGGAGCCAAGTTGCAGCGCGAGGCTGCAGCCCCCGGGGTTCCGCCTGCCTGCAGAAGCTGCCTGAGGCGAGCCGCCATCTGGCTGAACGCTGCAGTGATCAGGTGCTAGTTGCCCCAGATTTAGTAAGCTTAAAGGTGCCGGAAACGGGCACCGTTGGGGTTTGTTTTTCAATCTACAGTTTTGCCTTTTCACAACCCTGTGAAATAACATGCTGTTTCAGAACCGGGGCAATTAAATGCTCAGGAAACCTGCTGCCCCACGTGGTGCCAACTGCCGGCGGAGGGGGTTGGCAGTCCAGGCAGCCGCGCGAGGTGCGAGAAGCGTCCCGCTGACTCGGGCCGAGGTCCCGGCGGGTCTCGCGTGCCGCTGACACGGTGCCTGCATGGGAAGCCCGCAGGCCGGCTGTGGATGCGCCACCCCCTGCCCACGCTTCCCCGAATGCAGGCGCAGCGCCTCTG